TGCAGGAGCACCGGCATCTCGTGCCTGCCCCCTCGCTACCCGTGTCCCCCTCGCTGCCCATGCCCCCTTACCCTGCCCCCTTGCTGCCCTTGCCTCCCCCGCCCCTGCCCCCCTCGCTGTTCCTGCCCTGCCCCTGTCCCCTGCTCCAGTCTCCTGCTGCTTTTCCCCATTCCTGCCTCTGCCCCCTGTCCCTGCCCCTCCCTGAGTTTCAGTTCCTGGATTTCAGATTTGGATCTCCCCAGTGCCCCGGAAAGCTAGAAAAGGAAAGCCAGATCTCTGCCTTGGGCAACCACCCCAGCAGCACCCTTAGGTGCCCCCTGGCCCTGTGGCCCCTTGAGCGAGGGCCATGTGGGGGATGTGGGCTGGGTGCCTGGGTCAGTAGGGCTCACGTTTGCACTTTCATTTCCAGCAGATGGAAATGAAAACCCAAAAGCGAAACTCCAAAGCAAAACTCCAAAGCAAAACTCGAAATCGAAACTTGGCAATTCCCCAGAGCTTCCAGCGCTGATGCTTAAGGTAGCATGAGCAGGAGCACCCAGGGCAACTGCGTCCCAGGCCTGCAGTGTCACCAGGGCTTGTGGTGACACCAGGGCCTGCCTGTCCCCAAGCTTGCAGTGACATTGGTAACCGATGTCCCACTGTCTGTAGTGACACCATGGCCTCCAGTGACACTAGCTCCAGCTGTGTCACAGTACCTCGAGTGACACCAGTGCCTGCAGAAACATGGGAGTCAGCCTTGCTCCAGTACCTCTGATGACACCAGCACCTCCGGTGACTCAGGAGCCAGCCATGTCCCAATACCTCTGGTGACCCCAGTGCCTCTGGTGACACCAGCACCAGCCGTGTCCTGGTGCTGGCTGTGCCCCAGCACAGGCACTTGGTCCAGCCAGGCCACAGCACAGGAGCCCCCAGCATGGTCATAGGCTTGGGGTGTCCCCATGGTGTGCCATGGGCCTTCCTGCTAGCCGGGACATGGAGAGGGGACACTGAGCCGCCAGAGACACCCCAGACCACAAGGCTCAGCAGCATCCCCAGCTCCAGCATCTTCCTGAGCCTGCAGGCAGCAGCCCATGGTGCTGCTGCCCCGCAACTGGATCCCGCAGGTGATGGGGG